ACGACCCAGCCATCGGCCTCGGTGACGGTCTGGTACTTGATAAAGCCGACGAAGTCCTCAGCGACACCAAGTGCACTCTGCCCTCGTAGAACAACGTCTCCACCGCCATCAAGCTGGTCATTGATCAGCTGCCGAATGGCTTCCCAGGCAGTGAGGCGCCGATCACGAAGTGGTGGGCGGTCCATGCACTTCTGGGTCCAGGTAGTCCTCCCACATCGTTGGCTCGATAACGGCCTTGTCCAGACTAGTCGCTTCGATAGTGCCCGCGTAGCCGCCAATCTCCATCATTACAATGGGGTCGTAGTCCGCGGGGGCCCCGTGCACCTCGCCAATGAACGAAGTTGCCGTGGCGATAAAGGTCGCCATGAGCACACTGATCTTCCCAGCCGCATTCATGATGTTGTTGCACGTGCTCTTCTTTGGCCGAGACCATGCTTGTTGTGGGACTTCACATTGGGGACGGGGAAGCCGGCCCCCTTCAAGTACTTCTTGAGGTCACTGCCGATCTCAGTGACCCCTCGGACCGTGTGGTACGTGAGACACCACCGTGTCCCTGTCCATGGTGTAGAGGCGTGGCGCTTGAAGGGGTCGAATGCAATGAAGCTCTTCGTGTTGTTGTGGCTACGGCCACGTACCCAAGCATCAGTCCGATCTTTCCTCCACACAACATGACTTCCTCGTGCCTGTGCCTCGTCGATGTCCTCCTCCAGCCACAAGTTGCCACCCTCGCTCTGGCCGAAGGTTGTCGTGTAGTTGTTCGAGCCACGGTAGTTGTTGGAGTCCCGATGTACTGTCACCCCAACGTTCTTGGTGACAGAGATCGAGGTCCACTTGGCCTCGTCACCCAGGTGTTTCCTGCCAAAGTCGTTCAGGTAACGGAGGATGGCGTCGTTGTCCATGGAGGCCCGCGTTATCCCATGTACTCCGCCATGGGTGAACAGCCCATAGGTTACGTAGATCTGGTCCCCGTCCTCGCCGTCTTCGAGCTGTACTGCCCTCATAGTCGGCTTCCCGGCTGTGCGTGCTGTGGTCTCCTCGAGGATCCGCTGGCAGTTGTCGTAGGTGTAGTCCTTCCAATTGAAGGCGTCGTTCCCGTAGACAGGAAGCTGAGCGCGGCCGTTATCATCACGAAGTCGGCCGTCGGCTCTGCTTTGTTCAAAAACAGTAGACGATGTACGTATGGCCTTGCTCCGGGTCGCCAGAGTTACTGGCGGAGGTGTGCTGCTGTGCAAAGTTCGTGGCTTTGGTCTTGAGGCCCCGAACTTACTCCTCGTCGGTAATGATCTCGGTGCAGCATACTGGCCCGCAGCAATGGACCTCTTTGACCTCGCGGCCACCACAAGGCCCTGTCGCACTCGCCGCTCACTCCCTCGTGGTCCTGGCCTTGTCCTTGAGGATCGCCAACTTCGCCTCGAGCGCCCAATCTCCTCCATGACCGCTGGGTCCGCCTGGGCCTCCATGCTGATCTTCTCCTCGAGGTTGTCGCTGGCCCTTTTGGAACTCGCCTTTGTGGTCCCCTTTCCGGATGGGCTCGCCTGGCTCATCGTTGGGGTCCTGGCCACTTCCTCCCAAGATCCCTTCGAAGAAGTCGTCCTCGAAGGTGACACGCGATGGTCGTGGGCCGCTTCCAGGGAGTTCACGTAGCCGTGGGTGATGTTCTTCGGCGGGTCCTCGTGGTCGCTCCCATCCTCGGGAATCTGCGTGCGGCTCGCCTTGTACTTCTGCTTCTCTTCCCACCACTTGGCGAACATAATCAGCGCTGGGGAGCCGTTGCTCGTCTTCTTGATGTCGGCTGCCGCCCAACGACCGTACTCGTCTGGAACTTCCCGGTAAAGGCTGCCGCGCCAACGGCCGAACGTGATCAGCGTGTCCCCTGGCGAACTGACCGTAGACCTGATCAACTTCAGGAGGCCTCCTTTCGTCACCTTGTCGGGCACCGCAACGTTCATCTCCTTGGCCTTCTTGATCAGCTCCGGCATGGTCATGCTGCTCAGCCCCTTCATCTGGTCGGCAGCTGTTTTCTCGCCGTAGGTCGCCAGGAAGTCCCGGATCCTGGCCCGCAGCTCGTCCGTACTCCAAGAATGGTGTACCGTCACTCCCGCCCGAAGGGCCTCCGCGATGAGCTGAGTCTTGTTCATCCTGCTGATGGGGGTCGTCTTTTCCTGGCATCGCGAAGGGTCCTTCAGTGGCGCCGAAGTCGCGTGGGCAAAGACCGGGGGCTTGTAGCTTGAAGAATACAGTTCTGCCAACCCAAAGTAGCGGAAAAGAATGTTGATGCACATCACCGTGCTCTCATTGATCTACAGTAGACTCAACCCACTTCCCGGTGACACAACACACGCTCTCTGTCATCCTCGTCTGACCAATAGACTGAACCAGCATGTCCCTGAGAACCGTAGACTCAGTACGCCACGTAGATGGATTGAACATCGCCCTCCTTGGAACCATATGCACCCTCACCCAGGTAGCTGGAGTCTCAGCCCAAAAGTCACGCTCAATCGACGACTTCTCCCACCAAGCAAGAAACACATCGAGAGGCAAACGATCTTGGCTCAACATGTCTCGAGTGCTAGGGTCGATTTTCTTGTCATAGAGGATTCTGGAGTACTTTGGGGGTTGCATACCATGGTGAGCTACTGCAAACACGGCCGTGTATTGCACCGAGGGCTGCAGTCAGAGGTCCTCAATCTTCAAATCCGGCATCTCACCAGGTGACAAGCTTACCGGGATGATCGGGATAGCTGGATGGCCTGAGGAAGTCGTCGCCAGCTCGTAGTTCATGAGGTTGATGGCGCGGAAGTCGGCCTTACCGCCTTGAACGTCCTAGACCATTCCCATCTTGCCCAAGACAATCTTGCTCAGGAGTAGCGGTATGTCCCCTGTGATGATGGAGGTCCGGACCTGGATCACGTAGCCGCCCAGCTTGAAGCAAACGATGACGTAGAACGAGGAAAAGTGAACCTTCCCAGTGCCGAACTTGTAGGCCTCGCACTCCTTCTGAAGGATAGGCTTTTTCTCCCATCTCGGCTAGGACATTCGTGTAGGACTGAAGCCACTGAGATCCCGCCACCGTCCTAGCGCAGGCCGTGTCAGCTACTCCAACGAGGTTGCTGGAGCAGTGCTTCAAGGTGTAGACGTCGGCCGGCATCACATTGGTCATTGCCACATTCTTTGCCGCGCTCTCAACCTTCGCTCCACCGCGATTCAAGGGGCACTCGTCATCTTTGTGCCAGTGTCCTTTCCGGCCGCATCCTCCACAAAAGCTCCGCGCCTTCATCGCGCGCACCTTGGCCTCACGATCGTTACTCCCGGCACGACCATCTGCCCAGGGACCTCCGCGAGCGCCTCCTTGGTCGTGTCCCCAGTGAGCGGGCTCTCGCGCGTCCGCCCATCGCCGCCGAAGTCTTCCGTGGTGGTCTCCTCGTTACCACGGGTCTCCTTCCGTGGTCCATGGGTCGTCAGTCTGTTGGCGTCGCGACCACCCGTCTCCGGACGAGTTGGCGGTAGCTGTTTCCCAGCTCGCTCGTCTGCCGTAGCCCGTTGAGGCTTCGGTGTAGCCACTTTCATCATCACGGTGCACTCGCCAATCTCCCCAGGCGTTGTCCACACCATTTCCCCCGTTCCACTCGTGCTGAGTGGGGTCGTCATTTTCCCCATGTTCATGGTCACGTACGGGTCGTCCGACGTGACTAACATCACCATGATCATCTGCAGGACGGCCAACTGGACGGCCGTCACTCGACACAGGCTGGTCGCCTCTCCCGAAGCTAGGAGCAGGCGGAACTTCCGGTGGCTCCGCAGAGCCGCTGTCTGGAGGCTCGAAGCCAGGCGGTGGGCCGACGGCATCGCCCGACATCTCTCTAGGTCCTACTGGAGCACGCAGGCTCCGCTACCAGTATCTAACTAGAGGAAGACAAGGGCAAAACATCTACTCCGGCCCAGCCTTTTCCTGATGATCCACAGTGTCTGCCGCGACGATCGCCTGTCCGAGGAGAAGGGCTACCTAGTGTGGAGCTTGGAATCAACGACTGTAACACCAGATGCTGGGATGACTAGTACAACAAGTCACAGACACTTTGTGCTCCACATTTAGGCTTCAGGAGTTTTCGGTTTAGGCTTTCAGTACTCACTCTCGGACATGCCTAAGGCGAGGAAAGCCAATGACATTAACAAGGGGCTTTGGATTTAGGGTTTAAGGGTTTCTATTTAGGATTTAGGGGTTTTGGATTTGGGGTTTCGGCTCTCACACTCAGGGTTTAGAGGTTTGGGATTTAGGCTTAGGGTCAAGGGGTTTTGGATTTATAGAAAAGTGCAAAAACGTTTTGCACGTTTTGATCGACAATTTTGCCCGAGATTTTTCCTTTGGAACTTGATTTCGGATTTGGGGCTGGGTGGTGGGGCTGGGACTGGGGCTGGAGCTAGGACCGCAAGTTTTGACCCAATGTTTGTTCGTTTGGAACCAGATTTTGAATTTGGGGCTGTGGAGGGCTGGGGCTGGGAGCTGGAAGCTAGGGCTGGGCTAGCTAGGGCTGTGGCCAAGTTTCTTGTTTTGGAACGTGACTTTGGGGCTGCATAGGGCTGGGGCTGGTTTTGGAGCCGAGAAAGCTGTCGGACGGAGCGCATACGCCCGTGCCCGTGTGCACCTTAGACAAAACCCCGCGTGCCTTGGACGCAAATTCATGCGTGCACCTTAGACGTCGTGCCTCAGCGGCGAAGCCTGTTAAGAAACAATTGTTGTACAGCCTGAACCTGTACAGCAAGGGTTCAAAGTGCCGAAGCACTAAGAGTTCTGCACTGTAAAAGAATCATCAAGGTATTTGTGCGGATTCATAGACTACTATAACGGCTTCTTACGAGGGTTCCAGGGGTCAAAAGCACCTGGTCAAGTGTCGGGGTTCAGGAGAGTAGCGACGTAGGCGGCTATTTGGGCAAACATGTGAATATGAAGCACTTGGACGCTTCGGGTTATATCACCCACAACGCAATGCAAGCCATGCTTCCATGTAGCTGTCTCCGCTTTCGATGATGAGGCTCTTCAGCCTCGAATGACAGAATCTAGGGCGTCCATGTATGTATGAATGTATTTCGGCACCCGCCTGGCTAATTAGCTAGGAGGAGAGAGTTTCCCTCTAAGATTTGAAGCGTAAGCTACACAAGCTCATCAGGGCTGCACTTGCTGCTAACGGGCTTCCAAGGATGCAAATAGGTCAGGCCAAGCGGACCCGGGAGCGGGTATGTTTCGGTTTGCGTTCCTGGGCTGAGAGGTCATGGCCAGGTGTTGAACAGACCCAGAGACTCGAACATTCTTGATTCTGGAATTTCACATAAATTGTGGAAGGATCCTTAAAGATCCTTAAAGTTAGACTAGGTTAACAATCTTCAAGGTATATTTCTTGACTGAGGGTCTGGCTTTTCCATTGAGTTGAGAATTTTGTCCCGAAGGCCCCGAACCCCATGTAAATGAAAGCCCAAATTTGCATTTTCAAGCGTTGTGTGTGCCGCACCGAAACAAGTCGCTCAACCATCTGTTTCTCCAAAGTTCAGGGTTTACGAGATCTTACACTCTAGAAATTCTGCCCACATCTTTCCGACCCCAACTCAAACTCCTCGAGGTCCTGAACCTTTCCTAAACTCAGGACAGAAACATCCCAAACGCCAGCACGCAGCAGAACAGCCTCACAAATAAGACTAAATCCCAAATCGTAACACTTCTACTTGTCAGAACTTCAGGAATGTGAAACCCTGCCCACCCTGCACCTCAATGCGTCGCCCTGCAAAATAGTAGCCCATGGGCCCATCATCAATGTTTAGAGCTTAGGTCCAATAGGTGGCTTTGGACCCACACGGAAGCCCCACCGAAGGCAAGAATTGCACCTTCAAAAATTTTCCTGCGCACGAATCCATGACACTTCGCCTTGCCTTAAAGCCATGCCCTGAGTTCACAATTTACTCTTCAGGGTTCTGGGGGTTTTGGCGGGATTTCGTGTTCGTGCCGGGCATTGTCTCCGAAGCAAGATTTGGCTCCAGGGCTCAGGGTCTAGCGGTTCAGGTCGTGCATTCGCCTTAAACCCGAAACCCTAATGCCTGAGCCCTAACAAAGGCTTTAAGTTCAAAGGGTTTTGGGCTGGAAGGTTTGTGCTCAACAGGTTAGGGGTTGGATCGTAGGGTTCGGGGTTTGCGACATCCAAGCTTTTCATAAACCCCGTGGTGCCAGGGCGCGCCCCGGCAAAGTGCCACACCAACGGGGCATCCGAGACGTTGCGGCCGCCGATGACGAAGTTGATGTCAACCTGCCCAGGCAGGATTGAATGGAGGTTTAGGCTTGCAGGTTTTCGGTTTTTAGGGCTTGGGGCTTCATTCTTCTTGGGAAGGGGGGGTAGGTTTGGGGCTTAAAGGGTTTGTGGTTTAGACAAAACTTTAATTTAACTAGTGATACTGATAGGAAGGGTTACAAACCAAAACTGAAGTTTGAGCTACTTCTCGCCCCAGCGAATGCAATCCCACTTACAACTGCCTTTCAAGTAGAACGCTCCACAAAACCATCCGTGGCTTTCGCAAGCTATTATAAATTATAATAGCCTGAGCAACTTGTAAACAATATATTCAGGCGTTTTTTTCCGCGCGGAGGATTTGGCATTGGGTTTGGGCGTCGGTTTTTTCGGCTCACCGGCTTGGGAGGGTTTCGCTTTAGACTTTGGTGCCTTTGATTCGAGCTCAGGGCTTCGAGTGTTTAGGGTTTAAGCCTTTGGGCCTGTAGGCCCTAAATCCCGACCCCCACATTACCCGAAATCAACAGACTTTAAACCAGTAAGCCCTGCAACCGAAGCCCCAAACTCTGAACAACCCGAAAAACCCTAGGGTACCGCTCAAAAGCGCTCCGCACTTCGGTCCTCTTCGGGGCTCAGGAACCGGATGGGGGCCTCCCAGTCCGGGAAAGCTCCCAATGTTTTTCGCTCTTTCCGCTCTGCAAATTTCGACAGACACACAGACACACAGACACACACAAACACACACACACACAAACACACACACACACACACAAACACACACACACAAACACACACAAACACACACAAACACACACAAACACAAACACACACACACACACACAAACACACAAA